AATTGTCATCATGCAGATTAAAAGAACAATAGCACTATTAGCATTAGTGTTATTATGGAAAGTGCTCATCAGATGGGAGAGGAGTGACCTGCGGAGGCGCATTAGCTCACATGCTAAAACCTTGATCAGCGTCATTAGGAAGACAAGAGCCCTGTTGTCTTCTTGCTCACCTCTGAAATACTTGCTGTAAAGAGCTCTGCTCCACATGTTGTTGAAGTTCTTAGATTGAATAATCCTAACCAATTGTTTATGCTGTGTATTGTCATTTGCCTAGTTGAATACCTGAATCTATCAATAGAACATGTTACATCTCTAGTAGGTTAAGCATACTGAAACTGAATCACAAGTGACTAATTATCAGGAATACTTGGTGCAATTGTCTTTCTATATTAGTGCTTCTGCTTTTTGCTCCTCCCAGCCTAACTTGGAACAATGAGTAACAGTCATTGGGTGTTGTTTGGGGAGTTTGTGTGCTGCATTTCTATGGACAAACTGTCCAGGGCATGCCTGACTATAGATGTGACTGATCTCCTCCTTGTGGTGGGGAGACTTGGCATTAGCTGTTTGGAAACAGTCTCTTGGGACCCCTAGTGCCCTCTCCAGCTAACTGACTGTGTGCTATGTTTCCACAGTTATATCTCTGAGCAACTGGGACCAAAAAAACCTTTGCTTAACCCAAACGGCCGAGCGAGGCTGAGGCAGCCTGTGAACTGTGAAAATTCCCCAATTCTTTTGTTTTGTTATAGGCACTTGAGTTGACCTTCCTGGCTCTGTGGGAGGAAGGCTGTTGTTTTAACAAAACCAGCAGCATTTACCTCAGCGCTGAATGAGGCACCTCACCTTGAGACAGCATACTTGAGGTTTTGAATGGCACGTCTTTGTTTTACTTTGGTTCGAGCTGGTTTTTTTTGTAGTGGTTGACTTCCCTGAGAAAATGGCATTGCAGAGCCGCAAGGGCAGACTCTGTGACGACAGGGTCTGTACTCTTTGAGGATGCCTGTGGTAGTTTCATCGCTGCCTGCCTGGCCCTGAGCTCCATATGAGATAAGTGGCGTACCTCAATGAGAGAGCCTGTAGTACCAAGGCTAAATATAGAGATAGAAGAGAGTTAGAAGGGCAGACAAATAGTGGCTGCTGCTTATGATGAGTCAATCTGTCTAATCACAAGCAGAACAACAGCAGACCTAGGAATACGTGTCAGTCCTTTGGCTGAAATTAGTTGCAGAGAGAGCACACCCTTTGATCTGTCTCTTTAAGACAGGGAAAAGTGTTTTGGTTGGACATTCCAGACATACCTCCTACACATTCTGGTATAAGAGCTGTCGGCCTGCACATAAGACGTATATCTTTACAGATGTCTTTATAGGTAATGAATCAAGATAAAGCTTACTTCAGACGGTAATGTGTTTGTTCACAGACTATATGTGTTTCACTGTGTCCTCATCTAAAACTCGCTTATTAAGCCAGTCACTCACACCTCGAGGGCCTCAAAGCACAGAGATAGCTCACTCCCACAGAGGTTGAGATACTGCCATTCCAATCTGGCATGCCTCAGTGTATGAAAGCACAAACCGAGCCATCTGCTGTTGTACAAACACGACTCCACAGTGGTTGTAAGTTCCTAATGTCTCGTTTTCATCAATCAGGCCAGGATCAAATAGCCTGTGCCTAAAATAAGTGCCAGCGAGTTTACATAATTACAGGACAGAATCAACACAATGAACCTGTGTCAGGGGACCCATGGCGCTTGATGTTCTGTGCTGACAGATCAGCCATGATATGTCTGCCAAGGTGATCCCCTCAAATGGGGTAACGGTGAGCCTGTTTTGGGAGTAACCCACACAGTCACCCCTTTGCCAGTAATTGATACAGCCTGGCAGGTGTCATAACAACACAGCCGTCTCTCCAGCAGGCATATTTAAGTGTGGCTGACAGGAACTGTCTGGCGCTATCTTTCAATAGACTCTGGGAACTTCGTTAGGGGGAAAGAGGGTGAGGAGTGATGGTGAGGGTGGAGAAATTCAAGCAGCTTTCAGATATTTACTGAGGTCTTACGGTACTGTAGCATGGTAAACTACAGCAAGTATTTGTAGCATGTTGCAAATATGTGTAGGTGAAGACTAAATAACATGCCAAGAGGCTTTCATTTCATCAGCTTGTCTGCTACCATCACAACACTTGGAATTGAGACCATGATGTATTTTATGGCCCATAGACTAAGTGGATACATTCACCATGGAGTCACCCATTGCTCTGTGGACCAAAGGTTTTTTTTTTTGCAAGTACAGGTGACAAGAAGGTAAAGCAAAGTACAACCAAATGCAGAAAAAGACTTTGTATGCCAAAAAAAGTTAAAATTAACTTTCATGTACTGAAAAACTCAGTGAAATTGTAACATGCTTCATTGTCTATTCTATTCTCTAAATGGGAACATACATTTACATCGAGCTATATTGAAAACAACTTAAAACTTGCAATGTCACACACACAAAAAAGCTACAACTTGGGTAAATAAATCAGGTAAATAGCCTTTCTCATACAACCATCTGTCAGCCAGTGGAGACGCCCCCTGCTGGCCATTAGAACAATTATTAAGTTGCCTCAAGCTGTTAAATGTGGAGCTGTAATCAAGCTGTATTATGTTGAAGCTGTTGGGCTTGCATTGATTTTGCTGTTTTACCCAGATCCATAGAAGGTTTTAGTGTTGTAAAGGTGTGATCTTTGCCCAAAGACTACAGACCAACTTAAAACCAAACACACCGCCAAAGGTTATTACCTCAGGTGTTCAACACACTGCAAAACCTGAAAACTTTCCTCCACCTATCAATGCTTTTTCTCTCAGCTGCGTAGGAGTTGTCCTCTTGTTGTGTGCTAGCATCTTAGCGCTAATGAGGCCAGCTGTCCAAACGCTCAGCCGGTCAGCCAGAAGGGACTGCAGCCTTTGTTGATGCTAGGTGTTACATCTCCTGTTGGAACACACATTTTTGTTTCAACACCGCCAACCATTTGGCACAGGAAGACCGTCTCTGCTCACCCCCCACACCACCAACACTACTCGCCATCCTTTACTCTTTCTCCCCCCCCGCCCCCTTTGCTGTACTTTCCTACTTTTATTGTCCTGCTGGCCGTTGCCACCCCCGTCTGCGCACACCAGCACATTGATTTTCTCTCTACAGCTTTATATTTGATCATTTTCTCTCGACACTGCCGACAGAGAGTGTTGCCTTTGTAATCGCTGACCTCAGCTCCACACCTGAGTGGCTGTGGCCCTAAACAGCCTCTCAGACTCGTCCTAAAGCACCTTCTGTTTCAGAATGAAGAGTTGCACTCTGTTTGGACTGCTGAATGGACAATACATCACCTGGCAGAGACTGTATGACAGAAAAGAGAGGTAGGGATAGAGAGAGGTGGTGTAAGGTAGAGAGAAGAGAGAGTACAGAGTAGTTTATACAGTCGCAGAATTCTATATAAGTCCAATTCATTATACGTTTATGTGAATGTGAGGGCTTGCAAGTCTTTAATTGTTCTAATCCAAGTACAAAGGGTGAATGTATCTTTTGAAAACTACACTACGGTGGCAGTCACATCCAAGAGAAGAAAAAAAAGATAATATTGTGAAGTGAGGAACAGTGCAAAGAGAGGAAAGAGGTTTCGGAATGAAATAGCTCTCCTGATGAACCCGATAGGATTTCGCAGCTGCGGCACAGCGGTGTTGACCCCGCAAACGACTCGCCAAATAACAGCGCTTCTCCCTCCTCCTCCACCCCCTTTCATCCCTCCGCCCCCACACCTCCTTCCTCCCGCCTCCCCCTCAGCCTGAACCCTGCGCGTCTACCGAGTTTGTGTGAATACCACCAACCGGTTGTAATGACCTGCACAATGCGGAGAGAAAGGAAGAGACCTCACCGAAACAATTCTCATTGATTGAAACAGAGGATCACGGTTCTCCCAGATACGCCTCCTCCCGACAAAAAACATTAGCAGCCACTTCAGAAAGAGGTGGGCGAGTTGGGTTGGGGTGGGTGAAGAAGATAGAGAGAGAGAACATTTTTTTCAGGTGCTTTGTACTGGCAGTGCATATTCAGCAAGTGAATGCGAGCCGTGTGTGTGCGAGCGCCGTGTGTGATGTGAGATAAAGTAGCTGGAGAGGTAGTTTCAGTGCTGCAACCCGGGCCCTCTGCTGACTGGGCTGCTCTCACTGGAGAATTGATTTGGCCTCGAAGAGGATCTGTAGCTCTCTCAGTGGAACAGAGAGATGGAGCAGGGGGGGGGGGGGGAGGGAAATACTAGGTGAGTGGGTGGAAGACGTAACACAGGTGGAATTGAGAGATGGAGGAACTGGGTGGAAATGAAAAGGAGCACACACTCACATACATCTGAGGCAGACAGTCGGTCAGGGAAATGTACTCCCTGTAATAACCCTCTCTGTGGGCCGCCTGTGTCTGTGTCTCCTGGCTCCTTCAGCCCATAACACAAGCGACCAGGTCACACCGACTCCCACGCAGCACACACACACCACTTCAGCCCGCTCTGTAATGATCTCACACACCAGGTCTGTGTGTCTCCAAGTTACTAAGTGTGAATTTTCGGTTTCTCCCTGTTGTTTGGGAGTTTTCGAGGTTAGGGTTCATATCTTTCTCAAATGTTCACTTTTTACTACAGTAGTGAGACCTCCATTCGCTCTGTTGTTAGTGCCCAAGCTGCTTTTAAAAAAAACTATTTTTACCATGAGGATAATTTAAGAGTCATCTTATCTATAGGACTTTGGTGTGTTTAATTGGTGTTTCAAGCTCCTTACCCTCCTCCCTTTAATAGTCTTGACATTTAAATGACATGTTTAACCTCTCTGACTCGTGACCTTTCACATTTAGTGCTCATAATCAAGAAGCACACACCTCCTATTATCTTTATCAAGGATGAACATGTGTGTAAAGGCTAATAAAAATAGACGTCATCTGAGCAGTCATTCTAACCTCTGTCCTCCATGTCTCCTTGTGCAGTGACCAACTATAGTGATGTGGTGGAAGCCGGCTCAGAATCAGATGATGAAGACAAGCTGCACATTGTGGAGGAGGAAGGCAGCCTGGCGGACGGGGCCGAATGCGACAGCACCCTGCCAGAAGAAGAGCACCCCAGGGAGCGCTGCTGGGACGGAGGTGAGACATGACGCACACTCATAGGACGTATTATTAATATAATTTACAGTGAGCAAAGCAAATACACAAGTCATCTTCCTACTCACTATTTCCACAACGTTCTGAGACTTGTGTTCCTCTTTTCTGCAATGCACAAGTGCTTATTTAATCTAGTTTAAAATGTACAATCATGCTAGTGGGGTAAAACAGCATTTGATTTATTGTTTGCCAGGTCTGTCTTTAAGTGCCAGTTTATTGAGACAAGCCACAGTAAGGGATTTCATGCAACTAGTATCATCCAAACTACACTGGAAACTTTTCCGTATCATTGTTAAGCTTGTAGACAAACTTTTTTTTATTAAATGTCTCCAGCACATAAATGAAAATGTGCTTTTCCGCCTCTCTATGTATTGTTACAACATTCATTTTCTGACCGGTACTGTCTCATTTTGACCTCCTGACGTGAAGCAGGCTAAGTTAAGAAATGTTTTGCTGACGTCTGTGCGCAGATAAGTACCAGGCTTTGTCTCATTGTGAAACCCAGAGTGTAAGGAAACAGGTACTACACGTGGTGGGTCTCCAACTAAGGCAGGAAGTACGATATTAAACAAAGACAATGCCAACACAGGGAGAGACCTTCAAGCACAGAGAATAGCCTCGGAACCAAAAAGCCAGTGGAGAGCTTTATGGTACTGGTGGGCATTGGAGGGGCTGCCGTGAACTTCTTGTTACCTCAAACGGGGTGGAAGTGACATCAGAGGCAGCTCAGTGCCACAGGAAGGGCTGACGTCACACCCCATGCCCCTCCACAACAACAATCACAGGTGCTGAAGGATATTGGTGTTTCAACCTGTGCCCAAGGCCTCTGCGTGGCGTTTCTGACCTCATACTGCATGTGCATACAAATATGTATGTGTGACATTGTTAGTGTCCGACTGCGCCAAGTACAGTATGAGCCCATATGAGATGTAACCCAGCCACTCAAATATTTATTTGAGGGTGTTGTTCCTTACACGGGTGAGAGATGTGTGAGGCTGAGGGGGGCTCGGATTTAGCAAGAGGTCAAGTTAGCGCATGCCTTAATGTCCGGCTAGCTAACGCTTTCAGTTTAGGGAGGGACTTTTTGAAATTCCTCTCCAATGAGTTTCAGCTCAGTCAGTTTCACTTGCAAGGTTTCGGTCGCACGTGCACCACAGACCTGTGCACAGTGGAGCCACATATTGTCCTAACTATGTTGTCATTTTCATCGCTACTCCCCAGCTGTACCTCCATGCATAAAGGGAAAGTTGGAGGAAGAATAATGTCATTGGTTTTGGCCGGGACTTGTGAACATTAAACACTTCAAAAGCATGAGTTACACTGAAAGAGCTCAGTGAGCTGGCAGCGCTCCACAGTTATGCCTGATCAGGCATATTTTCTTTTGCCTTCACTCATGTGCACACACACCTGTCTTTCTCACTCTCTCACTGTATATAGCCTTCATATCATACATCAGGCAACATCCTCTCTGCCACTCTGAACCGGACTGATGAAACATGGGAAAGCCGCAGTTCTTTAAACAAACACACTTCACTCGTCTCTCATCTCCTCATCACTTGGTTTCACTCCTGAGATCGGAGAAGTCCCTGGAGCAGCCTTGAATAGTGACCACCACCCACTAATCTTCTCCTCAGCGCTGCTTCAAATTAAAACCTTGACACCCCTTCTCCCGAGACTAACGCGCTCCAAAACCAAAAGGTGGTTTTTCAATGCTCTACCATCTCTCCTTCACTTTCCTCCCCTCCCTTTTTTCTCTTTTTACACTCTCTTGCTGTTTCTCTGGTTCTGAATCATTCCTCCTGATGATATGGTATCATGGGCACCCTGCTCACTGTCATTACTCATTCACGCCTAAATGATTATGCAGGAGTGGAGTAGCTCAGTGTTGGTGCCGTAAACTACAGCCTGCTTTTCTCTAAGAAGAGGCCGACTAACTCCAGGGGATAAAAAGGTGGAGAGAGTGTTGACCTGGGAGGGCTTCTCCTTTATATGTGATGATTTGTAGAGCATGATTATATCTCAGAGAATAGGCAGGATGGATCTGGAGAGCTTTTTTATTGTGGGGCAGCAAAGGCACTTAATGACAGCGAAAGGCTGGATTTAGCATGGAAACATTTCCTAAGGCAGTGAGAAGCTGGCTGTTAGGGCACTAAGGCAGTACTGAAGCGAAGGCTCTCACGCACAATGACACCTACCAATGTCCTCACTGTTGGCCCAACATGCAGTGATGATATGTCATACTCCTATGAATCAGTCTAACATCCATTTTGATCACAGTGGACACACAGGAACACCTACATTCCTGATGCTTTATGTCACCACGTGATGTTTAAAGTGAGCCACCCTTCTGGACAGGAAAGGAAGAATCTCCAGAGAGCTGGGAAGATTGTCCTGTCGAGACATACGGCACAAATACATGATAAGCAAGTCATCCCAGATTTGGAAATACCTTGCATGTAATCTCTGACTTCCCTCCTCGGAGATAAAGTGTAACATCTTCACCGGGATTGTTGAATATTTTAGCTGTTTGTGCAAATTCTTATCACTGATGCCTCTCCCATCCAAGATACAAACATGTGTGGATGCACAACCACAGGAAGCAGTGGGGGCAAAGGTCGTCCAGGGCAGGAAATGCATCATGGGATACCGTTGTATCATGTTGCAGGGATGTAGGCAGAGAAGGATGAGAAGGGAGCGAAGGAAAAAGAAGAGTGGGTGGTCTGGTGATTTAGTTCTAATACGTACTTTGGTAAGGAAACACTGTGAAGCGCAGAAAGGAAAAACCTACTTTTTTTGTGCTGCAACAGAATGTCCTGCTACAACCTCACAGGGTTTTTGTTCTGGGGTTTCTGAACTGATTTTCCACTTGTGCAGTGGTGCGTTCACATCCCTGCGTCAGCACATAAATGGCCTGTGTGGTGTTTCATGTCAGGGGAGCAGCCTGATAACGCGGAGGCTGTGAACCCTTCTGGCTTCACGAGGTCTGTACTTAACAAAGAGCCGAGAGACACACACACACACACACACACACACACACACACACACACACACACACACACACACACACACACACACACACACACACACACACACACACACACACACACACACACACACACACACACACACACACACACACACAGAGTGAAAACAACCACTTGTACTACCTTTGCACCACAGGCCCCCCACTGGGACTTCACTTCACACACATGCTCAACATTTAGTAGCCTAGAGGTGTGTTTGGATGCTGCCGTTGAGTTGAAGGGGGCTCAACATAGACAGATCAGCAATTTCCCACATGCAACAATGTTTGTGCAATATCTTGTCAACAGCCAACACACCTGTGAAAAATACACTTCATTGAAACATTTCCCACAATGTCAAACTTTTTCTAAAGAAGAGAAAATGTAGCAAATGTGTCTACGGGGTGTTGTTGGTCGTGGGAAAAAGCTGCGTGCTATGTGGGGCTTAGCAGCCCCTAATGTGTTTCTGACCCTCCACTTTATGATGAGAATTCCACAATTTCAAAAAAAAAGAAGAAGCAGCTGTCGGTTTCTGCCTTACATATAACACCCAGCCTCTTTCTCTGAACGATCTATTATCCAGGGTTTTTTATAGAGGGAAGTTTCTTCGAATGGTCTTTAATAACCGTAGCAACAAATGACCGTGCTCGTATTGTCTCATGGCTTTGTTAAGGTGCACCACAGGAAGCCCAATGTTAGAGAACTGGTATTCACTGTGCGTCTGTGAGTCATGATGTGCTACACCTGTTCCCCTCTCTGAGGAGCACACAGCTGGCCCCGTCTTTCAACACCAGCACAATTCACAAAACACAATTCTCAAATCTCCCCTAAGCTGGAGGAGTGCTTAAATCAATCCATAAAACATCTGCCCAGTAAACACCACCACAGTAGTGTGACTTTGCTTTTAGCTGATAGCCTGTAATGATACACATAGGCACACTAACACATCCATAGAGGAATAATGCTCGGGTTTTTATCACAGACACACTTTACTCAGGTCCGGTATCCACTTCAGGAAGCATGCAGGGACGGAAAGAGGGTAGGAAGCTTTCCTGCATCCTTAACTCCATCCTCAGGTTACACTTCCTATAAGCCGCTGCTTGGTAATTAGTGCTCGTTAGACTAGCTAGCTCATGTGATGTGGAGGAAGAACGCTCAGCTCCCACATGCAGGCGCTCATTTGCTGCGATATTAAGCACAGTCTGAAGGCCAAGCCTCTCCAGAGAGCGGAGCGTAGAGTGTGTGTTTGTGTGTGTGTGTGTGTGTGTGTGTGTGTGTGTGTGTGTGTGTGTGTGTGTGTGTGTGTGTGTGTGTGTCCCTTCCTGCCTAACATATATCTGCTGCAATACAACAGGACAAGATTCATCATCTCATTATCAGTGTCGATCGCAACAAGTACCTTACCTAACATTGTGAATAGAGGCTTGCCATTCAGTTCTTACAAAGAGCTCGGTGCACGTACAGTAGCCTGTGGCCTTTGATGCTAATTAGCTTTCTCCTCCTATTGTGAACAGCATTCAGGATGTTTGTGTTTTTTCTCCCTGGCGCCGCATGCCTCATCCCAGGCTTGTGTACATGTCATGATCAAGGGCTTGGACTGTAAGATCCGTTTCAGCTATATTGACACTGACATTATTGGATTATCACATTACATGTTCAGAGGTTAGGGTTTCATATGTAGGGCGCATCGATGGGAAAACATGTTCAAATAACGCGGTAATCGATGATACCTTTTTGCAAGCACGACTTTAATCAGTGTCTGTTTCACCCTTCACAGTGAAGGAGGATTGTGTGTCGGACGCTGAGGATGATGGGAGCACGGACGCACTAATGGAGGAGATGCTCCAGCAAGGAGACACGGCCGTCATTTACCCAGAGGCCCCAGAGGACGAGCCTCAACGCCAGGGCACCCCTGACGCCAGCGTCCACGATGAAAATGGTATGCCACAAGAGCAAATTCAAAATGTTTACACATCCTTTTCCAGACATGTTATCATGTGCCTTGTGCAGTAATTGCTTTAAATGGATCTATAGCATAAAAGCAAGGTGTTGTGTCCCTAAATTACACACACACACACACACACCACTATTTCCACCTGAGAGATCACAGTCACTGAGCTCTCACACTATTGCTGCTCCTACCCGGTAATTACGGCCCCCCTCGGGATGGCTATACCTGCTCCCCGTCTCACCTTAGGTGTTAACTCCACCCCATTAACGCCACTCTCCGACATCATTACACACACCGCTATTTGTTAAGTGCAGCACACTGGAGCCTTTATTGCTCCCGGGCTTTTGGCTTTTACCTGCTACAACAGAGGGGGGGGAGGAAGGGAGGGCCTGAGGGAGCGAAACAGCAACACCTGAGTACATTTGTCACGTCTGTGCGAGATCTGACTCACGGCTACCTGGCCCATAATGTGTGTGCATTCCCATCCCGAGGCCCTCACCTGTCCTGCAGGGGAACTTAATACATCACCTGTTAACGGAATAATGCTTCACCTGTGTGGGAGCCGGGCATCTGAGACCCTCTGTTAACCAGGCTGGATCTCTACAGGCGGCTGTTATTTACCGAGCGCGCTGTTCCTTACATGAGTGGGTGTTTTTGACATGCTTCAAACGCACAATAGGCAATCTAATTGGATGGAATTTCAGGCGTGTAAAAGCTATAATTAAAGTACAAAAGCAAAATTAAATTCCAGTCCTGCATTGGCAACCCAGCGTGCTATTTCTTTAAGGAAAGGAATGTGTTAATATGGATCACTAATCAGCTTTTGTACATTTGGTTACCTGGGAGCTGTTTACCTGAGGGGGAGGATCTCTCGGTGATTGGTGAACTAGCAGAGGAGTGTGACTGTGGCAGGCCTTGTGTAACATCAAAGAGCCCTCCCTATTGACCATGTGTTCTAACCCCCTCTTTTCTTCCCCCCTTTACACATGTCATTACAACACTTTCCTCTTCTTTTTCTCCCCCCCAGGAACTCCTGATTCCTTCTCTCAGCTGCTCACCTGCCCGTACTGCGCGCGTGGCTACAAGCGTTACAGCTCCCTGAAGGAGCACATCAAGTACCGGCACGAGAAGACCGAAGAGAGCTTCAACTGCCCCGAGTGTAGCTACAGCTTCGCATACCGCGCTCAGCTGGAGAGGCATATGACGGTCCACAAGGGCGGACGGGATCAGGTAAATACTGACTGACAAACCGGCTAGGACTGGATACTCATATGACACCTTCACTGGCTTTTTTTCTGACTTAGGTGCTTAATGGAGTTAGATGATTTCTGTGAATCCCGTTTTAGGACCATACTACATTTGTGGTACTGTGAAAATGAAGTATACACATTAGCCTTCAACATTTTTACAAGATTAAGATAAGATAAGATGGAACTTTATTTAGGCATTTATGGCAGCAACAGTGTCAGAATGAAAAACAGGATTCACACAAGGTAAAAATAAAGATAAAATCACAGTAAAAAGTTGAGCATTTGTATGAACATGTTATTTACATAAGTGTGCAGATGTGAGTGCAGGTTAAAGTCTTGTAAAAACTGGTTGTATGTATGTACAATCTACAGTCTGAGAAACTAGTCAACATCTGCTATGTTTATCATTTTGTATGAAAAATATTCCTTGCTTGACTGATTTTTATAGTTTAACAGTCTTCTTAAATAGTCAGTGCAGCTTTAAGTTGCTAATTCTTCTGTCCCGCTGTAGTAATTATCCATTGGCAAATTGATTCTAAATGATACAAACCTATGTGGAAGCTTATTCCTGTTTCTTAAGCGACTCATTTACAAACATTGCACTTTTGCCCTCATTGATTAATGACATTGTGACATGAATTAGTAGCAGTTCAAAGGTTGTGCTATCGTACTGAATATCCCCTCTCCTTTTCGTCCGACAGAGACACATCACACAGTCGGGAGGCAATCGTAAATTCAAGTGCACTGAATGTGGCAAAGCATTTAAATACAAGCACCACCTGAAAGAGCACCTACGCATCCACAGCGGTGAGTGGACCACCATGACTGCATTCTGTGTGTGTGTGTGTGTGTGTGTGTGTGTGTGTGTGTGTGTGTGTGTGTGTGTGTGTGTGTGTGTGTGTGTGTGTGTGTGTGTGTGTGTGTGTGTGTGTGTATATGTGTGTATATGTGTGTATATGCCATGATTCTCTGCTGGCCACAGATATCTCAGTGTACATTAAACCAATATGAATCTTTTCTATTGATGATCTAGCAATTCCCTGTGTTTAGATATCCTTCATTGTGGTTCAATCCATTGTATGCTCTTCCTTTAGTGCCATAATTGTGTATCTTTTGGCATTATGGGACAGCAATTAGAGAAGGGCATTTCCCAATGGTGCCATTACATCAGCGTTTAAGCATCGTTGAAATGCATTAGAGGTTTTTCCTACTGTGCCGCTCATAGTCTAACTTGATCATTTAGCTTAATTTACTAATGGAAATCTGCTTCTGTCCCCCCCCACCCCCTCTCTTTCTCTCTCTGCTATGCACATTGTGGTTTTTATTCAGGAGAGAAACCGTATGAGTGCTCCAACTGCAAGAAGCGCTTCTCTCACTCAGGCTCATACAGCTCCCACATCAGCAGTAAGAAGTGCATCAGCGTCATCTCAGTCAACGGCAGAGCGCGCTTGGGGAACGCCAAAACCCAGACCCAGGCTCCATCTCCAGGGCTGTCCACGTCACCATCAGCCCTCCGCACCCAGATGCAGAAGATGGAGCACAGCAAGCCACTGCAGGAGCAGCTGCCACTCAATCAGATCAAGACTGAGCCTGTGGACTATGAGTACAAGCCCACATTGATGACATCCGCAGCAATGGCCGCTATGAACGGTGGGGTTTTCAACGGAGGTACTGCATCTCCTCTGCAGGGCACGGTGCAGGCTGTGGTCCTTCCCACGATGGGGCTGATGTCACCCATCAGTATCAACCTGGCCGACCTGCAGAATGCTCTCAAAGTGGCGGTGGACGGAAACGTCATTCGCCAGGTTCTGGAAAGCAATGCCAAAGGTCAGCTGCAAATGCACTCGGGACTAACCACTGGAATGCTCCATCCCACACAGCAGCAACTCATCTCAGCCATCAGTCTGCCTATTGTGGGTCAGGACGGAAACACAAAAATCTTTATAAACTACAGTTTGGACCCCAACCAGGGCCAGCTCACAGCCCATAACATGAAGAAAGAGCCCGAGGCAACCTCACTAGGCCAGAAACTCCCAGAGGATCTAACCATCAAAGGCTCCCGGCTCAATGAGACTAAAGAAAAAGAGGAAAAGACCACTAAAACCTGCCTCCTGTGTGATAACTGTCCCGGTGGGCTGGAATCACTCCATGCCCTCAAGCACTGCAAGGATGGCCTCAGGCTGAACGGTCTGGATAAGTCTGAGTCTGCTGTGGCTGCCTTGCTGTCAGAGGGCGGGCTCTGTAACCAGCCCAAGAACCTCTTGTCCCTGCTCAAGGCTGTGGCCTTAAAAGCAGAGCCCACCAAGGATGAGCTGGCCAAGATCTCTGACTCAGTCAGCCTGCCAGCGCATGTGGTAAAGAAGTGGTTTGACAAAATGCAAGAGGGTCAGATATCACTGGGTGCTCCAACACCTCCCTCAGAGGAAGAAGACACCTGTGAAGCTAACAGTGTGGTGTCCCTGGTCCAAGGGAAGGACACGTGCCCCTCTGTGACCCAGGACAGCCCTACAGAAGCCACTCCAGCGGAGTTCAACGGCGCCCACAGCTCGCCGGCCTCTCCCTCACCACTAAACCTGACAGCTGGCGGTCCCGTCCCAGCCCAGCCTTCCCAGAGCACTGAGGGACCCCTAGACCTGTCACTGCCAAAGCCCGCCGGAGGGGGAGCAGAGAGAGCAGTGGGTAAAGCCTGCGTTAACGCCTCTCCTTCCCTCCGCTCTACCCATGTGGATGAACCCCTAAACTTAACTTGCACAAAGAAGGAGGCATCGCCACTCTTAGCCATGGGCGCCAGCCACATCGCACTGTACGCCAGCCAGCAAAGTGCCAAACCCCTCAACATTGTTACCACAATGCAATGCCTAAGGGCACTTTCCACTAACAACAAACAGACTATCCTGATCCCCCAGCTGGCTTACACCTATACCACTACAGCAAACAGCCCTGCTGGGACCCAGACCCAGGAAACCCTCCACCTCAACGGAATAAAGGTGCGTTATCATTCAGCGTCCCTGTCTGTGTTAAAAGTATAGTGTTACATTTTGGAAATGTTGGTTATTTGTCTTTATTGCTGAACTCTCATTCGTATGCTTGATATGAAGCTACAGGAAGCAGCTAATTAGCTTAGCATAAAGACTGGAGATAGGGAAGCAGCTAGCAAGGCTCTGTCTCAAACTAACAAAACCAGCACTTCTAAGGCTCACTGAAGTTATAATGCAAAAGAAGAAAGGAAAACAAACACAATCTTATTTTATTGGTGTGTTGGACTTTAAAACAAATCTTTACCAGGAAATCAGACCCCAAACAGCTCTGCATGTGTGACCATTAAAGAGGGTTTCATTCCTCCGATTCTATCTTCTATCCATCTATATTATTAATTAATTAGTCAAATAAGGAAGTGCCTGTTGGCAGATTTTGTAGCCGTTTTCCCTGTCTCCAGTCTTTGTGCTAAGCTAAGTGACTGACAGTTACTCATTTACTGAGAGCAGTATCAATCTTCTTATCTAACTGGTGCCAAGAAAGCTTACAAGCAATTCCAAAAATGTCAGACAATGGCCACTGTCTGTAATCCTCAGCCTATAGTAGGCTACTTTGAGATGAAATGTTATTTTTGGTCTCTTTAGTTTCATTGGTGCAGAACAGACAATAGTTGTTGGAGGTCATGAGGCCAGCCAAAGCAAAAAAGTTTGAAATTTAGAAAACGATTGATTTTCAAAAAGTGCAGGAAAGGATTCAAGGTCTAATCCGGCGGCCATTTTGAGAAGCAAGTGTATTTGAATCAAGGTGGCTTATTTCTTTTTGGAGCAATCAGTCAATCTCTTCTGTCCTGATCATTAATCCTTATTGTTTGAAACCACAAGTACATGATAGATAGTGTGAATCCATCCCAAATACAATCAATAAGTCATATATAGAAATGTCAGAATTCAGCTCTTTGTAAAAATGATAGCCCTTAATAGTCCTGCATTGTGTGAACACCTAATGGGCCTGTAATGATGGATGTAGATCTCTGAGTGTATGAGTGATCTTCCTGAGCTGTCACCCAGAGGACATGAGGCTGCACTTTACTGCAGAGCCCTTATTGATCTGCTGGAATCTGTTTAAACGGCACACCTCTGCCTGCCTCATTGATTTATTGTTGTTGTATTATACTTTCGTGTTAAGTGGATTGGCATAGACCTGCCTTGTTAAAAAAAAGAGCTCTGTGTATATATCATCTCCTTAATATTGCCCCACATCCTCTTTGACTGCATCAGTAGATGAGATTTACCAGCTCGGGGACAGGAGAAAAATGTAGTGCTCTTAAGTGCACAGCACGGTTATGTTTCGGGCCAAGGGAAAGATTCCTCACAAATAAGCTGACAATACCGAGTGATTTTACATTTACAAATGTCTCCAGAGAGCTAAGAGTTGGAAATGACGGGGTAATATTTCCTGAGAAATGCACCACTCACACAAGTTGTTTGCTAGTAGTGCTACTTTTGTGAGTCATTCATTGTCAAGTAGAGCAACGTCATTATGAATTCCAACCAATACATGTGTGATTTGTCTTATTCACCAGGAGGAGAAGATGGACCCAGGCTCAGATGGTATGTCCACCGTGGAGGAGCAGAACGACTCCGACTCGGGCCCACAGAGGAAGAAGATGAAGAAGACGGAGAGCGGCATGTACGCCTGTGACCTGTGCGACAAGATCTTCCAGAAGAGCAGCTCGCTGCTGAGACACAAATACGAACACACAGGTAATTACAAACTCTTGTGTAGCAAAGGCACAAACACAGCCACAAATCATAGATGGGCTCTGGTTTTGAAATAAAACAGAACCGGAACTTATCTCACCACCACTCACTGTTTGAGAGATGAGTCAGAGTGCGAGTGAAGGGGGATTTTTGAGCTACAGCGTAAAGAAGGGTGGACACCTCCATTCCAGCAGGTATTACTCAACATGCACAGAAGAGGTCTGAGAATTTCTTTCCGCCAACTCCCCACCTCTGCACTGCCAGCTTCTCATGTAATGCACCGAATGTTGCAACAGGCTCTGGTAGTGATTTGCGTAGCTCTAAGATGATGATTCCGTGGCCAAGTGGAGGTCAGCGCCCTGAGAGGAGTTTCTTTTTTCTTTATTACTCTGATACCTGGCTTGCAACCATAGTTTTCAGCTCCAAATGACCTCATCCAAGGTGAAACTAGATGTTCCCTGCCTGGATAAAGTTTCCTATCCAATTGTTGTGATTTTGTTGTATTGTTTTGAAATGTTCTCCTTGGATACTCTGATGATAGATACTTATATGGGCTTCACAACCTTTCACGCAACTATGTAGGGGGGATTTCAAAGTGCAATGGAGTGTTTATTGTTTTCCTCCGGTGCCTTTTTACTCGAACAACTTTAAACAGAGATGTTGATACATATTTATTTTCTCCTTCTCTGCAGGGAAACGACCTCACGAGTGCGGCATCTGCAGCAAGGCCTTCAAACACAAACACCACTTGATCGAACACATGCGGCTCCACTCAGGAGAGAAACCCTACCAGTGCGACAAGTGCGGCAAGCGCTTCTCCCACTCGGGATCCTACTCCCAGCACATGAACCACCGCTACTCCTACTGCAAGAAGGAGACGCCGGGTCAGGGCGAGGGCCGCGAAAGCCCCGAGAACGAGGCGGAGGCCAGAGCTGAGATGGAGGCGCTGAGCCGGCTGCAGCAGCTCCTCGCCCCCTCGCAGCTAGACTTGGACGAGCGAGGGAGCAGCACCAGAGACGAAGAGGAGAGCGAGGAGGAGGACGGTGCGGTGGACATGGACGACATCCAGGTGGTGGAGATAGGGGACGAAGGAGGGGATGAGGAAGAGAGGAATGAGGAGAGGGTATTAGTGGAGGGAGGAGGAGATGAGGAGAAGACAGAGATGGAGGTGGCTGAGGAAGAAGAGGAGGAAGACACAAGGCAGGCGGAGGTGCTCGGGAGCATTCAGGAAGAGGAGGAAGTCGAGATGCAGGAAGAGGAGGCGATGGATACGGAAGAAGGAGTGACGGAAGAGGGGAAAGAAGAGGAGCAGGTCACGGAGGAGAGCGGAGGAGAAAAAGACAGTGAGACGGTTTCTGAGGAGCAGAAGGAGATGCCGGAGGAGGAAGGAGACTAAAAGAGGAATCAGACTCCTCAATGGGACACAATCAGATTCCTCCTCATGTGCAGAGGAAGAACGCAGGAGATGATGTCTGGTCACTCTGACAGTCCGTTTCAGTTCACTACTGTGTAGAAAATCCAGGTGTGCCTGAAAAAAATACTAGTGACTTTTCCGCAGGAGAGCGATTTCTCCCTGTAAGAAAAATCAATTTGTAAAGAAAAAGATGAAGACGAACACAAATTTTAACAAATGAAGGAAATGCATTATACAGACTTTGGAAGCTAGAGCCGACATGTTTTAGATAATGTTTTATTACTAAAACACCTTGGGTCATTTCTTTTTATCAGTGTTACTAATTTTATCACTCATATTTTAACCTTTAAAAGCTGTACAGTTGGGAGATATTTCTATACCTTTTTATTGCCAATGAACAAAAAAAAGTCAGTATTTTATTAAGTTGGAAGGAAAATAAGAAAAATCCTGTGCACTACAAGTGGCTTGGTTTACCTATGGATTAAGCAGTTGTGTTGTCAGCCCTTCAGTATTACCGCACTAGATATACCACGCCATCATGCTAGCAGAAGTTAGCATTTTGTTTCTTTTTTATGTTCTTTTAATTGGATTGTGAGCCTTAAGAAGAAAAAGTGGAGGGAGGTGTCCTTTTCAGTCATGTACTTCCATTTAGACTAGACTCATCGTTTCATTTTACAAATCAGTGTTTTTTAAAGGTAATAGTTTGACATTCGGGATAATAAAGGTATTTTCTTGACTTGTTGAGAGTTAGATGAGAAGATGATGACCACATTCTGATAACTATACCATACGGCTACAGCCAGGTGCCGCTTAGTTTAGCTTAGCTTACCATGAGGAACTGAACAAGGGGGAAACAAAGAATAGTGCTTTGAAGCATATTTGACATAGTGGCCAAACTGTGGAACTACAACATGTCTCCATAGGCTTACACAGGGAAAGAGACGTTTGTAATCTTTTCCTAAAAGTTGTAAAATCCACTAATAGCCAAATGCAGAGTTACTTTCTGTGATTGAGCCCAAGACAAACTATGGGAGGTTGGTTTTAACAAAGCGCTATTGCACTTTTTACTAAAGGCCCCATAGATGTGGAAGAGCCGGGTAATATTATACTTCAAAGTCACTTTTTATGGGCTTTATTCACTACTAAGCTTCTTTCAAAGGAATCAAATATCCAGATGTCCTTGTACATCCAAAACAACAAGCTAAAGCTAAATCTAACGTGGCTAAATCAAATCAAATCAAGTTTTATTTATATAGCACATTTATAAACGATTTTGGTCGAGCCAAAGTGCTGTACATATAATAAAAATAGCCTACAGTAGAGACACTTTACAGCAAATACAACAGCACAGATTGTTCAGAATATCAGTATGAGAAAAACGACACCCTCTATCCTTAGACCCTCACATCGTACAAGGAAAAACTTCCGGAGAAAACCCACAGTTTAAGGGGGGGAAAAAAGCTAGCAGTCACTTCCTATGTATCCACTACTTCCCACTCCAGTCCAGCAAGTGGCAGTAATGCATGCTGGACTATTTGTGACTTCCAGACAAAGCATGGCAAGCTATTTTCACCTATCTTTAGTATTTGCGCTAAATAAAGCTAATCATGTCCTGGCAATAGCTTCACATACAGTGGTACTGATCTACTCATCTAATTCTCCTGTAGGAAGCACATAAGCATATTTTCTTAAAATGTCAAACTATTGCTTTAAATGTTTAGAGCGAGCAAAAAAGGGTTGTAGAAAATGTTCTGACCCTCCCTATGCCTACCCCGTACTCCGAGCCATATGCAAATAATCAAACTAAAACAAGACAAACATGCATATCAAAAGTGCCATTGAATATTGCTGTTGAAGCTTAGAAGCTATGATCAGGTATTCCTAGATCAACCAATAAAGCCACCTAACCTGTGAGAGAAGAGTTTAGCCAACAGATTTTAGAGAAGTTGCTTTAATTTCTAATCTGAGCAGCTAAAAGAATTACAATGCACATTTGTTCAAATGGATGATTATGAAGTATTATTTCTAATTATTAACCGTGTCCTGCCTTTTCAAAGCTTATTCAGTGCACTTGTTTAACACCATGAAATGCTCAGATGTCTCTTCAGGTAACAAAATGTAGGCAAATAAGAATCCCAGGAGTTCAATTCAACAACCTTTTTACCTGTCAGTATTATTTTTTGTCTCTTAAATGTTTTATGTTCTGTTTTGTTGTGTGTGTACTGTATGTTTTCAGCAATAGCAGTATTATCCCCACCCAAAGGAGATGGGTATGTCTGTTTAGTCATAGAGAACTTTTATATTTATGTCTTATTTTTTATATTTCTTTATGGTTATTTATTACACTATGTAGTGTACAATACTGTAGTTTGTATTAATACGATAATATATTTTAGTATGGACAAAAAAAGATTCAAAGGCAAATAACTAAAAGCCTAGACAAATGAGACTCCAGCATACTGAAGTATGTTTTTCGAACGAATAAAATGAAGTTTTCCCTTGGGAAAAAAATTGCACCCTGCAAGCCTGAACATTTGAACCTGTGACCTCTGTGCATCCATTGTCATGTTAATTTTCTTCCCCCCTCTCTAATATGAAGCTACTGAACTTTTGAAAACTAATCGTATGTCTAATAGCATGAGTGTGGGCTGTTTTATTGAAGGAATATCCTTAACGACACAAACTGTCCTTTTTGCCAAGCCAAAATAATATTGACATTTGTTCTTATGTTTTTATTTGTGCCAATTTGTTACTTTATATGTCAGTGTCAAGACCACGCCCACTTTTATATGCCCTTCCCCTTTTAACACCCTCATCTTTTTTTATAGTGATTGTTTTTTGTTTGTTTTCCTTTTTTTTGTTCATTTTTTATGACTCCCCATCTCACAATAAAATACATCAATTACAAGCTGCTGGGTTTGTGAGCGTATTGTTATTGAGTAATTATGACACAATATTGAGTTCATAATTGTACTGCAATTTTCAAGTTAATAATATCATAAAGAATCCCATAGGGACCACTACAAAAAAGAAAAAAAAGAAAGGGGGTGGGGGTGAGGTTTCATAACATAATCTAAATAAATATTTAACATGAATGCTTGTTCTGGGGTCATGTTATCCTGGCCCTGTTTTGCAGCTCAAGTTTAAACACAGTTTTTGAGTTTTTTTATACATCTTTGTGAATTACTTTTTGTTGAACTAAAGGAATATTAGTTCAGACATAGCCCATATATATGTTAATGTTGTAAGGAACATATCAAACATGAGATATTTCCTCATGTGGTGCTTTATGCTAATTTGCACATAATTATCCCCAAATTTGCAAACTCAGTTTATTACAAAGATAAAGGTCACAACGTCAATTATTTTATATAATAAAATGGAAATAATGAAAGTGTATAGGTTATGTACTCGAAGGGTTAAATAAGTACTTTTAGATAGATGAGGGGGGGGGGGAAAGGCTTATTTGCTTTAATATCAAAGTGTGGTAAATATGAAGCTAGCTAGCAGCCAGTTAGCTTAGCTAAGAGCGAAGACGGGAAGCATGGATGGAACATCCAGTAAAAAGTGACTGCACCCGGTCAAGAAATCAAAACGTGTACTTAAGAGGGTATATCTTTGTTTTATTGGACATAGCCATGGTAGCTGTTTTTAGCATTTAGCATTTTAACTAGTGGTTGATAACCAGCTTTTACCGGCTGTATAGCTTGTTATTTAGCATATGTGTGTGTTTATGTGTAAGTGGTATTGATCAATATTTGCACCTAAATCTGATGAATGAATCCCAAAAAAAATCTAACTTGTTTTTGTAAGCTAAACTACATTTTGCCTATATTTATATGAATAAAGAACCTACACACCTATTGTGAAAATTCAGAACATATTTTTCAGTCCAGTCTGCCTGTTAGCAGCCCAGCCCAAGGTCAACCCTATTGATCCAGATTAGGTTTCAGGAGGGTCGACCCCCCTCCTGCACCCCCACATCCCCAGCCCCTGCAACGGCATTAATTAGTAATGGAATGGGCCAAAAATCCATAGTCTGTTGAGGAGTTGAAAATGATACAATAGCTAGTGAACATATTTGATTTTTCTCCCTTGCTCTCTGTGTGATGATTTTTGCTTTTCAATAAGCCTCCCTCTGCCTCCAAATGCTTTTGGGGGCATTTTCAGGAAAGTACTTAAGTCTGAAGAAGGGAAACGAGGTGGGAGTGGGGAGGGATGATAACCTGCACCTGCCTCCCTTTGTCCATGGATGTAGCAATGTGTACCTGAGCTTGCAGGAGAGTGTGTTTGTACGTGTGTGTTGGGGGAATACGGTGTGACAAAGAAGGTTTGACTGTCATCATGTTAAATGGGTCCTCAGAGACCCTTGGAAGTGGGGGTTGGTGGTGGAATAATGCTTTATAGGACAGCTCACACCATAACGTTACTGTGTCAAACTGTTCCAAGAGCATCTTGTAATTGTGCCTATTATAAATGTCTTTATCAGTGGTCACAGAGGCACCGCTCTGAAAGTCCCAAAGGTCAAAGAGTGTGTAGCCGGTGGCTGCATGTTCAGGATGCGGGGCCGTTTTACAGGCTTTCAGTCCAATCCGCGACTTAAAGCCAAGATATTGCCATATGTTCTGCTGTGCTCAGCATTTCAAAGGAAAATTGAAAAGCTATAACTGCTAAGAGGATATGGAGTGCTCTTGCCAATAATGGTGCAAAAGCCTGATGAAGTATCATGACTGCCGGGACTCTGACACCGAGCCAAACCCAGGGGGCTGAAGCTCCCCGGGGAAATTTAGTGAAAAGCCAGGAGGAGGAGGAGGAAAGAAAAGCCTGCTTTCAGGAAATAGCAGTCACTTAAATATCATGTTCATTTACTCAACCACTAAATAGCAGAACGTACACAGAGACATCATGTGTGTGTGTGAGTCTGGGTGTGTGCACATGTGTAAAGGGGCGGGTTAATATGTCACTTTATGTGACAAATTGCTGTTTCAGGGCTACATTTTTAACCCGCTGGTCAGCATAAGCTCATAATGTATCTGAGGATATATTTATTTATTAAAATCTGAGAGACTCACATGAATATATTCAGAATATATTGCTTGTCTAGACTTGTCAAACAGACAATTACACATGCAAGTCACTATCAAACAAGATAAAGCATCCTAATATATATTTCCTAACTGATATCTTGAAAACAAAAACGAATGTAGACAGTTTTTTGGAGAAAGAATTATAGGTATGTTAGTATATAAGGAAAAATTGCAGATTGCAAAAATCATGCAAAAGCACCATTTAAAATGGTATGATTACTGGAGATGTGCTCATAGGTTTCTTGGATATAATTCATTAGTTGACCAAGACCAAAACCACAAATTACTCGACTAATGTACAAAGAGGGGGCAAACAGGTCCAAATAGATCAACATAATATAAGGATGCATAACACTTTGGAACAGTGACTTCTCCCATCGTGGTTCCTTAAGAAGATTTCAGGAAACGACTTGCAACACATTTGAACACACAAGTGGTGTGTATAAATCATAGGTATAAATGCAGCGGTCAAAGAACTCCAGGGTCAACTCTTAAGGAGGTCAGTTAGAGCATCCTTATGTGTGTGTGTGTGTGTGTGTGTGTGTGTGTGTGTGTGTGTGTGTGTGTGTGTGTGTGTGTGTGTGTGTGTGTGTGTGTGTGTGTGTGTGTGTGTGTGTGTTCCCAAGGGTTGATTGGATTGTCATTGTTCTGTATTTAGCTCATACCATAAACATCTCCCTGGAGAATTACCCTTCAGCTACAGTAATTTGAAACCAATCGTTCACCATGTTGAGTTCCTCTAAGGTTTTAGGTGCCCTTGTTTTGCAGGGAGCCATTATCCTGAATCCTGGTCACCTTTTACCAATGAAGCTTCACTTCTCCATCACACACACACACACACACACACACACACACACACACACACACACACACACACACACACACACACACACACACACACACACACACACACACACACACACACACACACACACACACACACACATTTCTTCTCTTGCCTTCCAGCTGAATCCTATTACGGTGTTTCTCAGAGATAAGCCCTGGTGAAATCTATCTATAAATGAAATGTATGCATCATTGTTTAAGCCTGTAATTGCTTAGAGACTCAATTCATTTGATTAGACGGCATATCTTCTCTATTGCTGCCGAAAATGTGTGTTAGTAACTGTGTTATTTTGTCCTCTTTTGTGCACTTTGGGTTGCTTTGTCATTGGGACAATGAGTTGATAGCTCTGCATGAACTCATTCTCAAATCACGTTCACTCACATTCTCTCTCTCTCTCTCACACACACACACACACACACACACACACACACACACACACACACTTAGCATTAATGTTCTGGCAGATTTTTGCTTTCTTTTCAGGGTGAGGTTCAGGGCCGACTTTCACCACTTCCCCTCCTCGTTACCACATCGGGATTCGAGTTGCGCTAGAAAAACACCAGTGCAACCACAATCACCTCACAACCCCTGTACACACACACACACACACACACACACACACACACACACACACACACACACACACACACACCTGCCGGTGTTTGCAGGTACGGCCGGCCCTCCCACACTGCTGGGACAACATGGAGCAGCTCTCACTCATGACTAGAATAACAAGGAGCTGCACAGAATTAAATTAAATGGTCTGCTCTTTGAAAAGCACACCCCCACACACACACACACACACACACACACACACACACACACACACACACACACACACACACACACACACACACACACACACACACACACACACACACACGCACGCACACACACACACTGTTGTATGCTTTGGTCTTCCCACACATACAGGAAAGCATGCATGAACACACACACGCAAATATCTATTTCTCCCCTGTGTCTCTGCCATGTGTGTGTGTGTGTGTGTGTGTGTGTGTGTGTGTGTGCGTGTGTGTGTGTGTGTATGTGTGTGTGCGTGTGTGTGTGTGTGTGTGTGTGTGTGTGTGTGTGTGTGTGTGTGTGTGTGTGTGTGTGTGTGTGTGTGTGTGTGTGTGTGTGTGTGCAATCCCATTGTCCCGTCCTCCTCAGAGCAGCCTGGACCTTCAAGTGTTGTCTCCAAAGCTGCCACCTGATTGGCTACTGGAGGTCAGTGGATAAGCCCATAAAAAGGCGTGACATCTCTTTACGCTCCCTTAAATGTTCACCTTTTTGTCCTTACAGGGCCCGTGTGTTGCTAGGACTGTCTTTGAAACCTTCACTTCGTCTTGTCTGGGTAAACAAATGAGACCAACGCCCTCTTTTTGCTGTAACAACACTAAATAAATATTCTCCTCCATGATGCTCCTTCTGGGTCTAAACAGAACTCGATATGTCCTCAACTGTGACTCCCTCAAGAGTTTCTGATCAAAAGACAACCAAAAGAACTTCTTCTTTTCATTTTGACTAAAGTCCGCTCAAAGTCATAAACAACCTAGTCTCTTGCCATTTCTTGAATTAGTTTGATGTTTTCTGTGTTGGCCCTTAACATAGGATCCCCAATAGAAATATTTCTCTGCGTCTTCGTGTAAATTACTCTTTGCCCTTGGATGTTGTTCCGGTTATGTGCCAACCATGATAGAAATGTCATCAACACTCTCCGTGAATGCTCCAGAGTAACTCTATTCCCACCACAATCTGGGATTAATCGGACATTACAAGGACTTTATAAGAGGAATCTGGCAGGGAACGGACAGAACACGCTTTAAAAAATGGCCTGGGGTATAGGGTGGCTGATGGGCTTATGACTTTAGACTTTGGTAGAGCCCTGTCTCTGAGGAGTGTTGATCCGGCCGAGAGGGGAAAGTCATGGAGCAAACATCCAGATGTTGGGAGTCACTCAGAACCCGACAGCTGAGCA